ATGCAACTGCCTGAGCTCGAGATATACTTGGTCAAGTTGCTCGCCTGGTAATGGCTTGGCTCTCAGCCAATAGTGAAATGGGAACTTTTAAACTGATCTGGCTCGCGGTGACTTTGTCTCCTGTCAAAGTGTCTTTAAGAGCCGTTGTCTGTAAATACCGAGAATCGCCGGACAGTCGCGAATTTCTACTTATAGAATTTCTACTTATTTCACTAATAAAACCCCTTAGTTAAACTATTTTACAAAATAATTCATCTAATTATCTGGCTCGCAGTGACTTTGTCTGCACTGTCAAAGCATCCTGATAAAAATTAATTAGATTTGCGCGTAAAATGCATGCGTCACGGGCAAAGTAGGTTTGAGAAAACCTCCCACACGTAAAAGAGCGATTATGGGAGATTACCCATCACCCACAAAGCCGTCATTTCAGGTCTGCTGGTCACAGCAAGGGGTCAATCATCTATGGTCTAGGGGCCGACTAACCTCTCCCTTAGGCTTCGACCGAGCTTCCTGATCAGTCTGTAAATCCTCCCGGGATAGCGGTGTTGGGGTCGAAATCTCCAGCGTAGCCGTAAGTCCATACGACGGTTCAGCACTCGATGTCTGGAAGTATGGTCCTGGTTATAATCAATCTATCAAACTAAAAAACAAATTTATCGAGTCGTTTTTGAGATGAAAATTTGGAAATGAGTAGCATAAACAGGGGGGGGATCGAGGGCGTTGAAACGGGCACACATCTACTGGCCGATCTGTGATGCGGAGAGTAGGACTGGACACTACTCTGACTGTAAACAATGGCGGACCGTTTGTAGAGGAAGTTCAAGAAGATCTTTTAAAGGTAAATTTACGCTTGTTTATCTTTGTTTTTAGTTAATAAAACAATTTTATTGGCGTTAGAGAATACCTAAAACATGTTAAGAGTTTTCATTACGAAGAATTCGCTAGTTTTTGTACTCAAAGAACTATTTTAATAAGCGACTGGTGTTTACGCTAGATTTTATATAAGCAAATGCGAGCGTAGGGCATTTTTGGCTATATTACAATGTTTTCTAAAACCAAGTTTAAATTTTTTTGAAATGTTTATATAGTGTTCTACTTATGTGGAAAAAAAATCAGACTGAGCAAATTTGAGCAAGATTGGTTTTTTGACATCTCAAATGTAGACTAGCGAAGCGCTAGGGAATTTATAGTATGTACACCTTCTAATGATGTAGAAAAGATCCAAATTGACCTGAAATCGACATACAATTTGTGTCTTTCATACTTTCCCGCCATAATTACAGTGAGTTTGAGTCTTAAGTTTGAGTTTGTAACGGTAAAAGTTTCAAGATGAGTTTCAAAGAAGAATCAAATAAGAGACCCCTCTCGACTTCTACAAAACCAACTTCGCTAGTCTACATTTGAGATGTCAAAAAAAACAATCTTGCTCAAATTTGATAACTAAAAACAAGGATAAACAAGCGTAAATTTATCTTTCAAAGATCTTCTTGTCAGCTGAACTTCCTCCACAAACGGTCCGCCATTGTTGACAGGCAGAGTAGTGCCCAGTCCTACTCTCCGCATCACAGATCGGCCAATAGATGTGTGCCCGTTTCAACGCCCTCCCTCCTCCCGCCCTGGTGTAAACTACAAAACTGTTGCATTTTCACGATCACTAACTTAATATTTATGGAAATTTTGCGACATTTGGTGAAACTTTCACTCACACGCAYTACCACTACATTCAATACTCACATGTTGATTTTTACGGAGAAAGGAAAAAATTGGAGAAACCGCGGGAGAAAGACAAAAATATTCTCATGGCAAGGGAGAAATTTTTACGGCGGGAGGAAACAACACATATCAAACAAACTCAATTCACATGTTGCGTCTCAACCTCACCCGCTAGCCATCAGTAGCTTTTATCATGATCATCTATTGATGGGTTGCAAGCATTCCCAAGAGAGTCAAAAGACAAAAACATGGCGGCCATTGTGGTGCCGTTAACAATGGATGCTAATGAGAAATCTTTTGTTAAATGGCACCAACATGGCCGCGATGACGTAACGTGCATCAATCGAAGAATATGATAAAACACTTAGAAAAATCAAATTCTAGCGTTTGCTATGTAGCGTTTGCTTTTGGTGTCTAGCTCTCCAGAGAATCACCTACCTTAAGATTACTGTTGTACATATAAAACAGAAGTTTTTGTATTGTACACAAGAATTACTGTTGTACATATAAAACTAAACTGATGATAAGTAATAAGACGGGTGTACCACCATTATTAGCTTTCATCACACACATTATCAAGCAATCTCATATTAATTAAATCCCACTACGCTCAACTAATAAAAGGTTCAAGTTATCAACCAGAAGTCTAAGAATGTAGTTATCGTGGGTCAGAGTTAAAACTCATAATTTGCTCTAATCGAAACTAAATTCATTTATTATATGTATGCACACTGCGTGTTTTCCATCAATAAAGTGGGTCCGCCAGATAACATTCAATATTTCCTAATAAAATATATTAATGTTTGTCCTTTCTACACTGGCTAGCCACCTTCCTGACCTTTTTTCACTCAGAACATATCTTGCTTTACAACTCTCTTGCTGTCGTTATTGGTGACGGGTCCGATAGAGAGACCAGTTGCAAAAAATGTGTTTCACAAGGGTAGCTCTTAGAAGCCTGTGGCTAACGTACTTGTGGCCCACGTTCATTGATCCAATTGGAATTTAGGAGTTGATTTTAACGTAAGATAAATCGTAATTTTGCAGACCAGTTATTTGACTACTCTATCATAGTAACCATTGTATCATTTTCGTATATTATCATTATAGATATTCATAAAATATTAGAGATAAGACGCGCGTGCTGATTGGCTGGCTACCCTGTTTTTTTATCCGGCAGGCACGTTCCATGGCTCAAAATTTAAAAAATAATCTATAAAAGCTAGCAAAGCAATATGAAACGGCTGCTTATATCTCTGCATTGTGATTTAAACATGCTGGAAGCTGTAGAACACTCAAAAAAGCAAGAGAAGAACCCGGCCACGCTTCGTGACTGTCGCTTTGTGTTGTTTCTAAAGCTGCTTCTTTCGTGCTCTACAGCTTCGAGTAGCGTGTTTAAGTCACAGTCACAGATCACAGACATGCGCGCGCCTTTTTAGATTCCTTGAATATATTTTGGTACCACGCGTACTGGTCCTTTCAGGTTGGGGGTTGGGCGAAGGGCTGATAACCCGCTCCCACAACAAAAAGGTTTATTACAGAAACCAGAAGCAGAGAAAATCCAAGAGCTCTGCAAAGGCCCAATGTCCCATTTAGGCGCGAGGAAGATAGGTACAGGCACCACGCACACCACGTGTACAATTCGTGGTGGTCCAGAACAGTGCAAGTTATCATTTAGTACCGTACTCACCTTACGAGATTATATCGCTAAGGTGGATATGCAGTTTGCAGTCTCGCCTTGATATTTAATTAATTATTAAGCACAACATGTTGATAACTGTTATCAGTTATAGAAGTTGATTTCAGCTCGAGATAAAAATACCATCTAAAGGGAATGAATACATGTCTTATTTTATCTCCCAGCGTTGCTAATGCGCCATCCCTCACCGTTATGGTCACTGATGAGTGACCATCACCAAATCAATACTCTCAGACAAAATCGGTCTCGGACCGCCCTTAGGTTTTTATAATAACTTACAAATTTCGCGCGCGCTAATTGGTTATTTTTTATCATCAATAAGAGGAAACAGATAAAGCTGACATCAACGAGCGCGAGGTCTTTTTCACCCAGAGTTGAGAAGAGAGTGCACTACCGCAACGACATTCTTGATGCTTCGATACAAATGTCTTTTAATATCCCTAGGCCTTATTTGATATTAATAGACCATAACTCTAATGACGTTTCATACCTAAACTACCATAATCCTTTTCAAAATCTCTTTTTATATTCAAATGTTAAAACTCCAGTGAGAATACCAAGAAAATAGTGAACATTAACATAAAAAAAAAAAGCTACCGAAAGGAATTCTTGAAGTGCGGAGGTATAACGCCTCATGCTAGAGAGTTAAACAAGAACAATCATACCTTCTTATCGAACTCAAAAGGCCTATCCCAGTCAGATGTGTGATTATACATACTCCAGTAGGTGACAGGATTGTCTCACGGATTACTAATCAAGCAAGGAAACCGTTTTAAAAATGTTTGTCCCATCAAACTAGAGTCTGTCTGTTTAGTTTATCAGTTATTAACGTGATTCTCGATCTGATACGTCGCTGTTCAATAAAAAAAACCCGGACAATTCTGTTTTATACCAGAGCGTTACCGACACTGTTATCAAGGAAAGAACTTTTGTTAGTCAATAATATTAGGGCGCAGTGCAAAAATATGCAGTCAAACTCGTGCAACTCATATAACATTGTTGGCGCTGTGATAAACCAGTATAACGGGTGCAAGGGTGGATGCAGGGGGTGGGGGGTGGGGATTGGTAGACTAGTCATCCCCTTTAATTAGTTGAAAAATGATAAACCCTAAAAAGGACGCTATGTGACGCTTTTCACTGGGTACGCGTTAACAGCAGCTCATGTACCTGGAAATCGTTTTGCATGGATCCGCCATTGGGTAGTTTTGCTAGTACTTCACGTGTAATTTCTTACAAGGATAAACTCTATTATACTCTGCCAAAAAGAAATTGTTATTGCGCGGCAAAAGGTAGTACAAACTACCTTCGTTCTGCAGCTTATAGTGCAACAGTTTTGCCTTTTTTCTTGATCCTGTTTTTCTTCTTCTCAGCTCCCTCTCTCTGCCCTGTGAAAACACAGTCCCTGCCAGATTTGTACGTATTGTACAGGTGGAGAACATGAGGCTTCTTGAGCAAATTGTTCACAAAGTGTTCTTTTTTCCGCATTACATTTTCTATGTGCGAAAATAATGAGGGAAGGAATGAAAACGTTTCTCCAAGTAAATTAATAAATCTTGATCTCTGCAGTTTTGCAAGAAGTAACGCCCACGGATGAAGTACTCTTTCTTTATTTACAGCGTTTTTCTTAGTACTAACTTTGGTTATAAAAAAACATATAAAAATATATTACAAGTTGTATTTTCCTCACTGATTGACGAGTGAATAGACCATCAGCCAGGGTATCTTGTACCTAAAAGACGTGGCTCTATATATTATCTTGTATAAATGTCGTCATATTGTTATTTTTATGGTACTAAATAAAACAGTGTCATTGTCATTGAGATTACTCCAGTTTCGAGTTTTTAGTTCAAGGTTAGCCTCGTTTTTCTTCTTCTTCTTCTCTCTATTTTTTTGTTTGTTTTTGTTTTCAGAATATTCACATGTTCTATTCAAAGTCCATGGATTTCCAAACTGTCTGTATTGTTGAAGTTGTGCATTCTTTACTTTACCGTTGGTATTTGTAAATATTTAGACACTTATACGAGGCTAACCCTGAGGTATAAGAATCTGTAATCAAGGAACACAGCGGTAAATTGAAACTGGAAAATGGTCTATTGTTTTATGTATTTTTATTTCTGCACTGCACAATCCTTCGACCAATAGAACAGTTTTAAGAGCGGGAAACAAATGGTATACTGACTTACAACACGTACACGGTACGCCGGACATACCGTAACATTGAAATGGCTTCTCATTGTCTTTCCAGTACTTCGTCCAATCACAACGCGTAGTTATGGCTACAAGCAACCGTACGACTACAAATTTGCAATATCGTTTCCCACTCATACGTAAACCGTCCTAATATGAGACCATCCACATTTTGTCATGCACTCAAAAACATATTGCAACTAGAAGACTTCACAAATTATATAAAAGAAATTTCCTTTCCAATGGATTATCTTGAGAAAGACATATCTTATCGATCAAATAGCAGGGGATTTCCGTGAGATTTGGTTTAAATCGACACCGAGGTTTTTGACGGCCATGTTGGATTGCTTAACTATTCCTGTCATCTAGTATGGCTTGCTGTGACGTAGTTAAACAATAATATTGAATACATAATATATACTACAAGATTAACAGTATATTAACGGTTTTTATCTATATAGGTTTAGCTATCAATATTTCTCAGTTTTATCACAGGAACTGTGCTCCATGAATCAGTCTGTCGTAGCGAAGTCAGTTTCTTATCGACGAATAGAATTCCATCGAAGAAGGAGTTAAAATAAATCCAGCATTTATTTTGAGTCCCAAGTTGGCAGTAAATCTTGGAGTATACATGCCAAGAATAGATGCCGCAGTTTTCAAAACAAGCCGGCGCGAACGCACTGAACTTAGTGTGGCAGGATTGAGTCGTGCAAGCGGCACTACAGTAAAGAGAGCAAATAAAGTTTCTGTTTGGCAGAGTTAGTCAAAATTTAGAACTTAGAACATTTTGCAACGGTAGTTTGGAAGAAATAAATTCATTTATAAATATCAATCTGTAATACTTATTTTTGTATCGAACTATGCTTTTTTAACTTCGTCTTTCTTTTCTTGAATTTCCTCACCGTCTTCGTTTTCTTCTTCATTTTCGTCTTCTTTCCGTTCAAGATCCTTCATATCCTGACGCCATTTTGTTCGTCTATTTTGGAACCACACCTTCACTTGTGTTTCCGACAGCCCTAACATGGCTGCCAGCTGATATCTGTCGTGTTTTGTGATGTATTTTTGGACTTGGAATCGCTTTTCAAGGCCTCGTCGTTGGAGCTGTGTGAAGACAGGGCGGGACCATGGTCGCCTTCTTTGTGGTTTGCAATCATTGTCGGACAAAGCATGAAATTGGTCGTTCCTTTGATGTGGTGCGTTATCATCATCTGCGTCATAAAAAGAGGAAAAAATGGTTTGACACATTTGTAGGGATTACTCAAAGTAGTTATTTGATAGATATGGATTCTCAACAGCAATATGCCTGTTCAGTTAAGCGAGAGTGTTAATTTTTGAGGGGAAAAACTAAGTGTTTTATCTGACAACACAGCTGATCAGTAAACCTTTCTAGTTTCTAGCCAGTATCAGGGCATTTTCCCGTGGTTAACTAGAGTAGGATGAGCACGCTCAGTCATAGCGTGGCCTAATGAACAGGAATTCCGTTATCGCATGAACGTTTACTATTAAAATTCTAAAGCTCTTGAAAAGATACTTCTACTGTCTAATACACAGCGTTAATGCCACAACTAAGCTGTTATATTAAACCATTACTTGGTTTTCTAGATAAGATAGGGATGTTTAAATCCTTCGGACTAGTCAATTGGGATCATTGAGTCCAGTCTGAAGACCAAGACTATAAACAGCAATGGATTCAAGATGATCGATGTTAGGCCGAAAGAGGAGTTAATGATCTTAAACATATACAAAGGTCTTTTCAATTCATTGTTAATGAATGGGAGTATTGCTAATATTGCTGTTCCAGCTTGGAACCCATTCTATGCGGAATTTTATATAGAGTCAAGCAATACATAGTTAATAATAACACTCTCGCTTATTTGAGAACCGTCTTCTCACTAATATAGGGGAGGTCAGGATTGAGAATAAGTTAAGATCAGTTTATATTGGAATAAAAGCCTCATGGTTTTTTAAAAAAAAAAAAAAAAAAAAAAAAAAGAAAGAGATTTTCCAACAAACCCAACCAAAGCTAAAAACGACACGAAAATGAGAATGCCACTATAAATAGGCAAAGTCCTTTGAAAGGGCAAATTTAATCCAACTTAACCAGGTTTTTATTTAACGACTAAGACGATTTTGGGTCTTAACTTGGCTATCTAATCTATCTTACTTGATGTATAATACATTTTACTATCTCTTTATTAGAAAAAGGTTGACATTCTAGTCGAACTTGGGATTTCTGTCATTGCGCAAGGCGTCCGTGTGTCTAGAATTCAGCAAATATGATACAATAATGATTCCATAGCTGATATTATATGCGGTACTTTGCCAATTATTTCGAAGTATCCTCGTAAAATATCCTTTATAAGCCGTTATATTTTGAACAACGGAACAGTTAAGTTTGCACTTGTATGTAAAAACAAATAGATTTTACAGATACGAAGGGCAGAGTTGAGAATACCGTTCAGTACGTCTCAAGAACATCTTTCCCGCAAGGACATGTTTTTAAAACCTGTCATTTATAAATCTAACGCTTCCTCTTCAAACTAACAACTCTGACCTTAGTTAAACATCCGCGAGAGCATTAAGAAACTAAGTTTCTTTCTTAGGATGAAGAATAAGCTGAAAAGACTGTGAAACATTTCTATATCCTCATGATTCCAGATCAACAGCTTAACACTCCCTAATCACCCTTAGCAAATGCGAATATTTTCCAGTCTTTGAAAATAAGAATCTTAGGATTTCTTACAGGATGAGAAGATGGTTTGAACTTATAGGCTCGAGCCGGATGTCCTGCGCATGCAACAAGTATCGCCCAGAGTTTTGAGTCATCAACGCTAGCGTCTGTCAGTCTTGTGGCGCCGGTACTGCAACAAATTCTGTCTTTATCGAGGTCTCGTATTTTTATGATCATTATGAAGTGGCGATTCAAGAGATTTTATTAAAACAGTTTACATTAACAAAGACAATTAATGAACTTGTTCCTGGTTTGAAGTGGGTCCGTCAATCTTGTATCAAAACACACATTATTCTGCTCCAATTCTTCAATATACTGCCTACCCTTACTACAAGAAATGTTTGAGGATTTTTGGTCAGTTTTCAAGGAGGCGCGCTTTGCTTAAAATCACTGAGAGTTTGGAGCTCTGCTCAAGATTTCCGGAAACAGTAAACAAGTTGAAGTTTGATTGGATCCCATAATCCACTAATCTCTCTTAAGTTTGTTAAGTTTGTTAAAAATATTTTTCAAATCTTTTTGTCTTAAGACTAGCAAAGCAGCTGATCTGGGCTTTAGATGATAGAAGGTTGAAGCTAATATTATATAGGTTAATGAACTCTACCACGTCCAAGAGATAAGGAGTACAAGTGTACTTAACACTATGGACCAACAGCATACCGAGTGACATTTATATAATCATTATCATCATTGTCTGCATTTGGCGAAAATACTACCTTACCAGAGACAGGATTTTTGTATTCCAAATGCTCTGTCTTTAGAACAGCGAATGAAAGAATCCAGGTAAATTTGAGTCATTTAGACATGCGAGGAAGGCATATAGCTGCAATTCACACAACAGATTAAAATAGAATGTAGACCACGGGAGAAGAATTCTTCTTTTTTGAAATTTAAAAAATTACTTTAAGAATGGACAGAATAGTCCAATGAAGTTAAGTAAAATGGAAAAATTGACAGGGATTCGCTAAGTTTGAAGTCTTTTTGATAATCATTTTATATTATCTTAAATAGACTTAGAAATACTTATGACAGTGACAGGATCCTGCTAGCTACTTCAACGCAAGGGCATCATTAGAAAACAAGAATTTCAAACTGCCATTTTTTAAACAAAAAGTATGTGTAAGCATAGCTAGAACCGCTTCGAAAAATAAAGTTTGTTTTAGCATTCTTAGGTCTATATTAATCTTATTATTCTGGTTCAAAGATCTTGTCTCAACCCTAAGCGCTCTCAACATGAAACTTTCTCCATATAAACTCGACGTGTGAACTAGATGAGCACAGATCTTGAAAACGTGTTAATCACTGTTTTGTTTGCTTGTCTACTTAAGATATCTCTTCCCCCAAATGTTTTCTCAGCGTTTAACGGTCATTCACAAGAGACCTTACTAGAGTTCTCTCCTCGCACATGTTTTGATCATTTTCAGCGTTAAGTAAGACAACGGACGTGTTGGATGACAAAGTCAATTCGATTAACAGCAGAGGAAACTTTTAAGTCCGTATTAAGCGAAACCGCTGTCCTTTGATAGCCACACAGTCACTCTATTTTCTTCTGTTTGTCGTTCATTACTATCTGTACTATCAATCACTATTTGCTCCTTAGTTCTCATAAGGGCATGAGACAGATGAGAAGATCGAACCAAGTTTTCAAACAAAACAACCTTCTAATTGTTTATGGATTACCTGAATTGGGACCTCGACTGAGTATGTTTTCAATGCCAAACTTGAGCGTCTTACTAATATTGGGTTTAGGAGGTTCATCACGAGAGCACGTCTGAAGAAAATGAGCTCTTTGACTTGAAGTAGCGATGTGCGTCCAACCTGACTGATATCGTCCGTGTATCGAGCTTGAGCAGTCCCAAACACTCGGGACAGTGGTACATCGAGACAGAGGTTCTTGACCACACTGACAATAAATCAATGGATTCCTAGTATACATATCTTCACTTCCTATATTAAAACCTAGTTCTTGCTTTACCGAGATCTAGAAAGTTGACTGGACTGTGTTACGTTTACAGACCTCCCATATGTGGTGAAGTAACAGCTCTCAAATTGGGTCGATGGCCAATAAATAGCTTTTATCTCTTCCATCTCCGCTTTCAGAGATACGGATATAAGCTCTTATTGTTTTATGAACACATTCCAATAAAACTCTACTTCTCTTTGGTTGGCACTTCAAGAGTTTACTATAAACTGATTCAATAGGCAGATCACTTGAACTGGATGTCATAACTTGATCATCTTCAGAGTAGCTTGCTTCTGTCTTTACATTAAGTTTTGCTCACGACTTTTATCATTTACTCGACGATCGTAAGTTTGTTTTTGTAGCCTAAGAGCAGATGGACAACGTCCGGTGAATTTAATAAAACGTGTGACATTTTGATGGTGCTTGCTATAAAACTTGATGATAGCTATTGGCTAGACCGCGCCTATTTTACTTCTGTGTTTACTCGCATATCGGTTTTATAGCTGATAGGGAGATACATTACCGGCTGATAATCATAATGTTTTATTTGATTGAAAAAAGTCTCGCATTCACGCTGCGTGTTCTCTGCGGCCAAGTTCAAAGAAACATTTCCCGAACGCGCATCACAAACTTTATTAACACTCGTCATAAAAGAAAAGCCATCAAAAGTGCTCACTTTAAGGTGTTTAAAACTGCCTAGTTAAGCTCCAGAGCGAACAGGGTTAAGTTTTTCGAACGTGAATATGCGGTTAGTACTAATATCTATTTTATTCGACTGGTGATAACAAGATTGTTAAGAGGCGCCACGCGGGCATGAAGTGTCAAGATCGTCTCGCTTAGCTGGATATTACTGTACAGAGCTGTGGATGCTGACCACGAGATTCTCTGATATCTAGTTTATTCAGCATCTCAATCAATTCTCTGCTCACTTCCCTTCGTTTTTTCCTGCGTGTGTGTGTGTGTGTGTGGGCAACTCAGTGATTGATTAATACTGTCTGTACTTTGGCACTCAATCTCAACTTTAAGTTTTATCGCGAGTTCAATACAGATATTGAGAAAAAGGGCGCAAAACTGAACAATTAATTCCTTTGGATTAAACAAAAAGGTTTGTTCAAGAAACTTTGCAAAACTAAATATGGAATCTCGCTGGAAAGGATTGGAGAAAATATCGAGCTGCATCATGACAAAAAAAAAAAAAAAAAAAAAAAAAAAAAAAAAAGAAAAAAAAAAAAAAAAAAAAAAAAAAAAAAAAAAATTAAAGAGTTTGCCCTCGTTTTATAGATATGGATAATGAAGTAAAGTCAATGATGATGAAGGCTTTGATGAAGCATTGCTTTTATCAATTATGATTCCAAAAACAACATTGCCCGCACGCAATTTCAAGAACAGCAG